AATTTTGTTTTATTTTTACGTGAATCGTGATCGCTTCGATTTTTCCGTGAACGTGAAGGAATTTTTTCAATTTTTCGTGACTCGTGAAAAGGCAAAATTTTTTTACGTGAAAGCATATTGCGAAGGGGTATAGGGGGCCCTCTATAAAATTTCCAGGAACAGCTGCAAAAAATGCAACCACAAGCCCTCTGACAGGAATCGAACCTGCGGTCCTGTGATTCCGGTGCAGTGCTCTAACCACCTGAGCTACAGAGAGACAGTTGTCAAGCTCTAACCAACTGAGCTACAGAGGCCAGTTGTCATGCTTTAACCACAAGGCAAAAGTTCATGTAAAAATGCTAGGGTACTGCCATGTAAGGATATGGGTAAATATCAAGATTTTGTTGGCATCGCACTCGATTGAATAAATAGTTGATGGGTTTTGTAGATGGAAATTGTCAAGTGTAAATTTTATATACATTTATTAGACCTAACGGCAGGAACAGAAGCGAAAAATGAAACTATACAACTTCTGGTTTATAGAGCTTGACAATTTGCAGGCTTATATGTACTGTATGAATGATACGAGTATATATTTCAGTATAGGTTGCGCTAATCTATAGCTAGTTCCCTTCCAACTTTGCGAATTAAAAATGAGTGAGAATATGAGTAACATACACATCTTATGCTTATGGGCACACCCCCCTCCCCAGTCCACTCCAGTATGTTCAGATATCAAGCCACAGAAATAAAATTCCTGTTTGAGTGAATGAAATCAAATCAAACACTTTACACTTCGTCAGATTTCCATCATAAAATTCATTCACAAAAATACAAGTTGTGATTTGAACATTTCTCAAATTGATTATCATGTGCCAAATATACTGCTTTGATAAAAATTTATAGTATGCAATATTTAAATCTATATCATGTATGCTAAATCAAGTATTTTTAGATAAAAATATGATATAGTTAAATTGCGCCAAACAATCGACCGATTTATTCTTCAACGATTATACTATTATTACTTTGTTAAAAAAGTGTTTTTAAAAAAATCTACGAACATCTGAAAAATATACAATGATTATAATTATGTTCAAATCTAAATATCTAATACTGTGCAATAAATCGTCTAATATCCGCCCGGCAATTCACTTCAAGTACGTTTGAGGGAAGGGCGTGAACTTTGCACTCAATCAACTCTAATCAATACACATGCGTCACTTTGTTGTGTCGGGGGGGGGGGGTGTACTATAGAGAGGGGAAGTCATAAATTTCATGCTGGAGTGTGGCTTATTTGAGGGGAGGGGGGGGGGCTGTGGTGGTGGTGGTTAATAAAGGATTTACAGTGGTTGTGTAGTAATACAGCTGAGTAATTAAATTGATTATTGATACACAACAATATACAACAATCTCCAAATAGGGTAAAAATCTGATGACAAATCTTAGTATACAATAATATTTAAATATCTATAAAATTATGCCAAATTACTGATGTGCTTTTAAACCAAAATTAATTACTCAGCATAAAATATGTACACAAAGTTTTCAGGTGATAACCAGTATCGTAAATCCCCAAACGTCTCTCTTTATCCCCTAACATCCCAATTACTCTGCACTGTCCCTTTCCATCACTGATTATCTCTCAATGCCACCATCTATCCCCACTGGCGACGACGCGCCTTGCTTTTGTAGCCAAGGCAGCATTTCTGCACGACACTTTTTTTCGACCGTTTCACGCACACTTTAATGTGATGGTAAATACGGTAAATGATCTTGGATCGAAATCTGCCTCGTTCGCTGTCGCTTACAGTACCCTGATACTTTTGTCGTGTTGGAGCGACCAAGTTGAAAAGCACTCTTTTGAAATTTCGAGGGATTAGACAACTCAGGCCATGTTTGCCAGCAAGTTCACCCGCGTTGCAACAACGTTTTCTTAAATGGCGATGATGTTTTCGCGTTTTTTTTCCTTTTACATCAATTACCGAAAGTGGTCTTGTTGACGGTGTCGGATTCCGATCGACATATTTAACCTCTACGTTTCCCGAGTCGCTGCCAAATACAGACACACCTCTCTAAGACAATAATAGTGCTTATATAAGCGCCCTGATCTTCAGCGTCAATGTCGAGCTTGTCAACACGTTTGAATCACGGACTCAACATGATATTAAAAATATCCGGTGGTCTACAAATTTTCCATGACTTCATATTTTCCATGATATTATTTTCCATGCATGCACCAATCAAATATGATTATATTTCTTGCCAACCAATTAGGAATGGCATGTCATTTTGACATTTTTTTTGGCCATATATACCAACGTTTGTTTCACAGAGTTTTTGTCACACTGCTTCGCTAACACGCTCTGGTAGTTGCTTTAGGTTCCAAAGGCAAAGCACATGCACGCTTAACTTTTGAAAACCAAACATGAACCAGATAAATGTACACAAACGCCCCACGTTTTTAGTGGCTCATCGCTATCGCTGTCATGGTCTTATAGATCGCGAAACGTTTCTGGGCTTCAAGAAGACCTATGAAGAGGTGATGAAGAATATTGCGGCGAAAAAGCTGGATACTGATCAAGACGAACTGTAGAAGTGCGTATATTAAGGAGTCTTTCTTGCTCTTTAACCTTACATGTAATGCCAGTTAAATGAATTGTACTCTATGATATGTTACTATGATTGCATTTTCTGTTTCTATAGGTATGTCCGTAGCCTCTTTGACTTCGATAACTTTGCAGACTGTGTACCGATAAACGCTGCAAATCTAGCCATCATCTTCCACCCTGTTCAGGAGTGCATGAATGCAATGGCTAGTCAATGGAACCGCGATATTTCCATTCAAAAGAGACATAAGCCTTTCGTCTACACCATCCAAACAGCAAGAGCGTTGATCGCTTCCCAGCTGAATGCTGCGCCCGAAGATATTGCTATTGTAAGAAACGGTTCCGATCCAAACGCCGTCATCAATAACGGTCTGGATTACAATCCAGGTGACAACATTGTTTTGTTCGACCAAAATCATCCCACAAATTCTGCAGATACCGCCTTCGTCATCCGAAAGTTGAGATTTCCTAACATCACTTGTCGCACAGTGAGCCTAACCGGTCCATGGCCAGTTGATCCAAGCCAGAAAGCAATAATCAACGCTTTTCTTGACAAGGTTGACGATAACACAAGATTAGTCAGTTTCAGCGAGGTAAGTGCAAGTTTCTGTTATGCCTATGAATGGCAAAATATTTTATAGGCCTATAATATTTTTCACTAAATACCTATATATAGTTGATGTTCACTCACATATTACCATGGATCATTTGGTCTTGGGTCTTTTATTTATACACACACACACACATTATATATATATATATATATATATATATATATATATATATATATATATATATATATATATATATATATATATATATATATATATATATATCATTAATAATCCATGAAGCAATTATCCAATCTTGAGTAAGAAATTAGTCACGTGCATTCGTCTTTAAACCAGCTAAAGAACACTTCAACAAAAGACCATTGTTATGCAAACTATATAAAGATTTTTATATAAAGATTTTTATATAAAGATTTTTATATAAAGATTTGACTTATTATGCAAACGTTTTTGAAGCCATTTAAAAAACTCGCAGGTCGTGTTTAATTAGGTCTAAAGCCACTCGCGCTGCGCGCTCGTGGCTTTAAACGTAATAAAACACTCCTGCTCGTTTTTTAAATAGTACATTACCAAACTTAAATAAAAACATGACAGTACTAGTGTAATTGGGAACGCCTTAAGAATAGCTAACCAAGGTCGCGCCATCCTGATTTGAACCGTACCGCGGTTATAGCTTTCCGTAGCGGCGTGAAAAAGCACCTGTTTGATACGGAATGTACAACAAGTCAACAACATCTCTCCCAGGGCCATAGCGACCGGGGGTGGGGGTGGGGGGTGTAGCTCATGAGCAATTTCAGGTAGATTTCCGGTAGAATCAGTTTAGGTAAATTCAGGTAATTCTCAGGGCATAGGAAAGTGAATTGGGAAAAAGCTATATCTGTGAAAAATCGTTTTGTATTTTCGGAAAAACTGATGATATGTCCGGAAAAATATTTGTATGTTCGTGCAAATTATGATATCTTCGGAAAATTTATGTTATGTCCGGAAGAAAATTTTTTGCGACGTTTCCGCCCTCTCGCCAACAATTTTGGGGGAAAATATTAATTAGCGACTGAAATGCTCTTGGCATGCTTGCTTCGCAAAATCAGCTAAAAGCGTTAACTAGGATAAATTCAGGTAAATCTAACCCCCCCCTCCAAAGGCAATGTCCTCGCAACGGCCCTGATCTCTCCGTTGCAATAATTCTTCTGCCAAATAGAGTTCCTAAAAAGGTACGGGTGGGTGTATTTCACGTCGCTTCGGTGCAAAGCTATCTGGTCTAGTGATGTCATAAAAGCATTGCATAGACTATATGCATGGACAGTGCCAGTGAAACTGCGCATCACAAATTTCAATTATGTCAACAGTGGTTTTTGTTGATTACGAAAGCAAATTAGGGACCGGTCATTATTTATGGTGGGGGGTGGCACCGAAGAGAAATGTTTTTCGTGGCAAACATTTTGCTGACCCAACCATTAAAACTGAGTAAAATATTTGATTACCCAACCTCAAATATCAATTACTTGAAAAAAGAAATACCCACCCCCGGTCAAAAACATTACAAAAAGATACCATTTAGTTGTCACACAAGTCCCTTACCACTTCTGTGACATGAGTTTGATAACGGATTGTGAAATTTTCTCCAGTCTAAAGTTTCATGTTGTCTGCACATGTACTTTCTTTGGAGACACCATTTGTCTCCCAACAAATCGGAAAATGATCAAGATAGTGACTCTGATTGATTCACATATTGTATTGACATACGACTGTTGACATTGCTTTTTAGTCTCCAATATTTCGGTGAGCCATGCTTGGAAATAACAATAATTTTTTTATTACCCAACCCTTGAGTTGTTTTGTTTTTCATTTACCCAACCATTTACTTACTCAAAATTTTGTTTACCCAACCATTTTCTCTTCGGTGCCACCCCCCACCATAAATAATGACCGGTCCCTTATCTCGCAGACTTCGGCTGAAAAGCCACCCAAAAATGGCGGCGTGAGAAAGGCTAATTAAACGGAACTAAATAAAGATTAAAAAGTGGAGTTAAGTGTTGGGCTTACATGCAAGCGACCACCCAACGGAAAAAGGTTGATAGCAGTACCTGTTTTTGACGTTTAAACGCGGTTACCAATTTATATTAATATGACGAATGTCAACAACTGAACTCGGCACGTCATCGCATTGGCGGGCTTTGTTCAGTTGTTGAAGTTTCTGATATTGACGTAGTGACCGCGCTTAATTAAATGTCAAAAACAACTATTGCGATCAACCTTTTTTGCGTGAGGTGGTGATGTGACTCATGTATCACGTAAAATTGCTGTAAGCATTAAGAGGAAACAACCAACCTTATAAATATCTTTAAAAGCCTCCATTATAAATAACACCGCGATAAGTGCATGTAAAATCTCTTCTGTAAATCTAGTACAATACGAAATCCAGTACGTTTTCTCCAGTGCTAAGATCAGCAGTAAAATAATGGTAATCCATAGACCAATCCATAGTCGCCATGGTAAATATACTATATCGAAAAGAGCTGATGCCTGTATGGCAAAACACGAGAATTAACAACCAAAAATAACGTTTATAAAAGGTTTTCCAAAACTATGGGCCGCGCATGCCTCATATTTTGACTTTTTGTAAACATTTTGTAAATTGTACGTTGTAAAAATTGTTGTGACGGAGGACGTTATTATATTAAAATAGTTTTTAAAGTGCCTATGACACGAAATTTCACCCCAAATGTTTATCGTTGCATTGTAAAGATCACTTAAAATGACTTAATAATTTCTTTTATAGAATTTTGATAACTTGCTTCCTTTTCAAGATATTGAACTTTGTTTCATATGCAAATATCACCGGTGTGACATCACATAATGAGTTTTCAGAAAAGTATAGTTTTCTTCACGAATACGTATCGAAAAAACTTAAAAATTGCCCTTGTGTATGTAGTAATTTCATAACTGGTAATTAACCTTCTGTATTTGTTTGTAAAAATATTTTATCAAGGTAAAATATTGCGTTTTCAAAATCTCGCAAAGGAAGCAAGTTACCAAAATTCTATAACAGAAATTATTAAGTCATTTTAAGTGATCTTTACAATGCAATCATAAACATTTGGGGGTGAAATTTCGTGTCATAGCCATAGGCACTTTATTCTTTAATCAAGCATCATTTCAATCGCTTTGTAGAGTCATTTAACAAAAAATAGGAAATTACACTTGTTCTTGGAGTGTTAATAAAAATCACATGTGTGTTTGGCGAAATACTTATAGTGCGAATTTCATTAGCCTGCGCATGCAGCTCAGCAGTCCAACGAACTTTCGTGCTGCGAGCTGGCTAGAATTATACTTCTCGAACCGTGTGATTTCCTATACTAATTAAATCGTTTTGTCGTAATTTCCATAATTCCATAAGTGGAAGTTTTGATTTTGCACTGATGTGCACATAAGTGGAAGTTTTGATTTTGAAGTGACTCTAACATGAAACTAGTTTTTCATAACTCTGAGGTTGTTTCTGAAACTAGAAAGCAAGAGTATTTTTTTAAAAATTTTTTTGAATTTGAATTTATTTGTAAAAAACCTGAATTGCAAAATTAATACAAATTTTGAAATACTCAAGTTAAAATAATTACAATAATAACTAATTAAAGACAGTCATGAGATAATATAGAGATTTAAAAACTATTTAACTAAGACATATTAGTAAAAAACTATGGCACAGTGTCTCACTTTTGAACACTATATGGTATAGTACTGTTCTTAAACCTGTTTGTTCGACTTTTAAACATTGGGATATTTCTTGGGTTCCTAAGAGAGTAAGTATGATTTACAACAGTAGGAATCAAGTCATTCAATTTGTTGTCGTGCTTTAAGACAGAGCGATAGAACGATTTAGTAAGTAATTCTCTTCTATCTCTCAGCGATTCAAGATGAAGATGACTTAAATGCGGTTAGACGAGTCATTTCACAGGAAAACCGGCCCATTGTGGGTAAACACCATTGGCATTATTCTTTAATTTAATTGAAAACCTGATTACAGTGCAAAGGCGTACGTTGACGGAGTACTAGCCATATGTATTTTTAAGTCACAAACTGCCCAACCAAAAAATTATTGTGCGATCCCTCTCTGCTACGCTTTTATGGCAGTTGGGGCAGAAAAAGAACCAACTGAGACGGTTCCATGCACCTTGAAAATTTAGAAATGGAACAGACAAGAGAGAAGAAGAAATAACTCACCTTGTAAATAACAGTTTCAATGACGACCATTGCAGCTGTACCACTTAGAACAGTGTGAGGCTCCGTTCCTATAACTGCCATCAACATACAAGAAAAACTTGTGGCTAACAACATTTCAGAGTCACCCATGAAACCGTCTGTATATTTCAACAATAGCTTGCCAAATGTAACTGCGAGCGCTACAACGCCAAATGTGACAAAGAAAAAGGCAGCAAGACATTGGATGTGAAATGCATCTTTGACATCACTCCAGTATTGAGGATAACGTGTTGTCATTTCACGACGCATGCCACCAAACCATCGACCATCTGATTCTAACGGATGCTGTTTACTAAGCAACGGAGAATATACAATTGATGGAGTGCAGCTACTACCACGGCCTGTATATCCTGCAAAATATAAAAATATATAATAATAATAATTAAAACTTATGGCAATATGGAACAGACAAAGGCAAAATTAAAATACACTCAGGTTTAAAAAGAATTTGAAAAGCATATTTAGCTTCTTTACCGAACTGCTACAGCTCTATATTGATCACAGGAAATTTTTTCATTACGTGTATATATTTGAGAAAGAATAAAAACCATTTGATGACAAGGACATTAGATTTTGATCGAATACTTTATGCCATTGTATACCTCGAACATGTTCAAACTCAACACTTGTATATTTGTTATTTTTAAAATATTTGCAGTCTCGTGAATTTTGGTGCGTCAGATTTACGTTAAAACTGCGCAGCATTGCCAATTTAAGGGAGAAAATTATTTTCGCAAAAATGAATAAATCGCATCAAAAACCGTATTTTAAAAACTTACCATCTAGGAAAGACGAGATATCGTCTGAGTTTACCGCAGTATCTCGGCGTAAAGGCAAAGCACTGGATAGTTTCCTGAGCTGAACATTTTCAATAGCTGGAATTAATGGTTGCTGTATAGCATAACTTTTCCTTCTTATTCTTGGTGGAGTCTTGACAATTTGTGTGCGAAGGACATGCCGTTGTGCTGATAACTGAGTTATCTCTTCGGTTGCAGGTTTTAGATAGTCTAGATCCCATTGACCCGGAGGAAACAAGACACTGTCTTTAACATATTTATCAATTGCAGTTATAACATCTGGTTTCTTACGAGCCAAGAACATATCATGCTGAAATAGCTGGAAAAAGAACACAACAACCTCAAACACACGAAAAAAGAAAAACAAACACCAATGACATTTTTCTTCTAATATCGTTGTAACTACAAGTTGTTATGGAGAGGGCCACAGGTTTGTCAGTATAAACTGTTGCATGTTACCCTCTTGACTTACTCTCCTGGGGGTAAGACGTTATTGCCAAAGCGTCAGGTGCCAATAAACGTACGCTAAGCAGAGGGGGGCAACTGCCCCCAAATATTTTAGAAAACCATGGAATTTCGGGCATTTGCGATAGGAAAAATTGCCAAGAGAATTCGGTCAGATTTATCAGAAAATATGTTAAATTCTGGTTATTTCATTACAATCCTCGAGCTCCATAAAAATTCCCCCCCCTCCCGGAAAGCATCAGAACTGTACGATTGAAAGAGCCTTACCTTATCAGTCATGAGAGATCCAAAAGCACGACAAACTTGTAAATCTTTATGGTTATCACCTTCACATGATCCACATAAGAGAAACACGAATTTGCAATCAATAGGAACTTCAAGAAAGTCATAAAGTTTTGTACCATGTGTCATTCTAACCAATACAATAAATGACTGGTATTGGTTTAAGAAATCGCAGGGTGCATATTTAATTGCAACACCATCACAATCACGTGACAAGGCCTTGAGAAGATGTTCTTGGTTTCCAGATAAAGGATATCTATCAGTGTTTATTTCAGAATATTCAGATATCGCAACACTACATCGATCATCAGGAATTTTGAAGATTTTCTTATCTCCGTTGATGTCCGACAATCTTTTGTTATGAATCCCCCCAACAGATATCTGGAAAAATAGACATCAAGGTCGTTTATGGACAGAAATATAGAAGAGAAAATTTATGAACTGCAAGATGAAGCAAAACCATTTATTAATTTAGTTAATTTTAATGGTATCTCTAAAACAGCGCTCGAAATAACGGGGTTCAATAACTATCCACTTAACAATTTGACCTCAGAAATATCAATAAATTTTATCGCCTAAATATATAGTACGTTTGAACGGTCAAATCTCATTCCAAAGAGAGAACAGCTGTTTACCCATGACTTTATTTATATGATTCCTGTTCGCATGATTATGGTCTAAGATTGAAGTTTCTAATTTTACTCCTCTTTCATCCACCACCGTGCATCAAATCTCGATTCACTTTAATCAACTTATAAAACTCACATTAATTATAGCTTCGTCGGCATCATCAAAATCGTCATCATCATAACTAGTAGCTGAAAATTTTGAAAACAATGATGCCTTGTGGGAGAGGTTAACCCAAAGATTCCTGACTCTATTCGTCGACAACTCAAACGCCTTTTTAAACGACTCCTCACGCTCATCTGCTTCAACTTTCTCTGCAAAGTTTCTATAACAT